GAGGAGAGGAGAGGAGAGGAGAGGAGAGGAGAGGAGAGGAGAGGAGAGGAGACCCATCCCCTCTCTCTCTGCTGCTGCTGGAGCTGGGCTGGAGCTGGAGCCGTCGATGTGGCTCCCCAGAGTTAGTTGCTCAGCAACCAGAATCAATTAATATGCTTTGCAGAAAGTGCAGGGAAAGCCCGAGCTGCTGTCAGCCAGCAGGCAGGAGGCTGAGGGTGACTCAGGATCCCACTCCTGCCTGAGACCCATTTGGTCCCACCCCATCTTCTCCAAACACCCCGTTCTTTTCCCCTTTCCCCTTCCCTAGGGTGCTTAATGCGTGTGTCCCCAGATTCTTCAGGCAGACCACCTCGTTGCTCAAGAAACCTCCTGCTTCAAGGGTTTTGCTTTTGGAGTCTGATCTGTATTTTTGGTTATTTGTCAGATTTTCTTCAACACTTTTCTAGAAATTCTAATATTCATGTTCTTTGGGAAGGGAAAGGGATAGCTGTTGTTTTTGTCAGATGGTTTTAAAGATGCCTCAGGATGAAAAGGGTTGTTTGGTAGTACACAGTTGAGCAGGCAGCAATGAAAATGCATCATGTGTAAATTGGGAAAGTTTTTGCTTCTTCCTTTGTTACAGATGATCAGCACTGCATATATGAGACCAAAGAGGTAGTACTAATTGTTGTGAAACACCTAGATAATAGAGTAAATGAGGGGGTGTTGTGGGATTTTTATATCTTCTCCTTTTCAGTGTAGTAATTTCAGGATTTTGGTAAGGTATTATTTTCTTTTTTTCTTTCTTTCTTTCTTTCTTTGATTTTCTTTGGAGTCCCTCTGATGACACCGCGAATCTGGGAATGAAGAACTTCTTAGAGCTGATTGGAAATGGCATTGCAGAGCTGAAACTTAACTGGAGGAAATATATCTCCTGAAGAAGAAAATATAATGCACTGTAAGGATCTGTCTTCTGGTGAAAAATTCAAGCCTAGAGAAAACTTGTCTGCTTTGTTAGGAAGAATGGGTTGGACAATTTTCTTCAATTCCAAAGGATATCTGAATGCCATGCTGAGCTTAATCTCTGCAGCATGCTCTGTGCTTCTCATCTCTTCCTGATGCACTGCATGGTAAGGCCCTTTTCCTGTCTTTTAATAACTATATGATGTGGTCAGAGGTATAAAAAAATAGCAATAGTGAAATGAAAATTGAAAAAAATGTGGAAACGTAACAAAAGAATGTTTGCTTGCATGGTTGTTTTCAGGAGCAAGTGTCCTGATTACTGCAGCAGCTTTGTAAGATCATTTCTGTTTTTCTCCCTTGCTTTGTGACAGTATGTAGGTGTATGTGTGTGTGTGTGTGTGTCTGTGCACACCTGTGCTGTCATTTGCACTTGCACTGGAACATCTGCAGCTGCACTGTACATATTTCCATGCTAAGGAAGATGTTTAGGAATTGGCTTTGACATTTCTCTCTCTTTTTCCCTCCCTCCTTCCCTCCATTTCCCTCCTCCTGCTTCCTCCTTCTCTTGCTCTGTCTGTTTCTCTGGGGTCATGGTTCTGTACCTTCCCTGCACCTCAGTCGTGCACTGATCACTAGAAGGCAAAAATGGGAGCTAAAAGAAATCCTGTATCATGCAAGAATAAGTAATATTATTTTAGTAAATGAAAGCTACGGAAAGGTTTTGAATGTCTGCAATACCAGCAGGTACAAAAGATTTATTCTATTTTGTTTCCATGGGAAACTACCAAGTGCAGACTTGGATGCTGTGTTTTAGAAACAGTGGGAGAGAGATCCTCTTACGCAAGTCAGGAAGCCGAAAATGTGAATTATTACCCAGGTCATAAAATAAACAAATCCAGTATGGGATGTTCTCACATCAAGTAACTTTTGCTGTGTATTAGAGGAGTGTTGAGAATTATTTGAAATACCTTCAGTGGGCATTGGAAGGTACTTTTTGTTAATAGCTGTAATGTGGTTTTGTCTTCCTGGATGAAGGGTGCTAGGGGAGTGCAAGGAGGTGTAACTACCTGACTTAAAAATACCTAGGGTCATTGTCAAGAAATTGCCTAGCAGATCAGGAATTGTACAATTAATAAACTGGGATGGAAGAGCAGATTTCTTTTCCAGGAAGTTTGGTTTATTTGGATCTCTGTTTTAGAAATTAGGGAGAACTAAAAGATGATATAATGGTAATGTGAAACATGTATTTTCTTATGCATCCTGGTTGATCACTGAGTTTGGAAAGTTGAGTGGTTCTTGAGTAAACTGTGGTAAGGGCCTGCCTCCACTCTGAGGGGAAACCCTTAGAAATCTGACTGCTTTTGATGGAGCTGGAAAAAGATCAGGAGCAGGTTTGTGTGGCAGCTGCCACAGACTGTGCAGCGGGGTATGGAGAGGACAGGTTCCTGGCAGCAGGTTTTAAGCACAGGAAGGATAAATAAAGCCAAAAATACAAAATCCAGGCCACAGCAGGACTCAAGAAGAAGAATCAGAGCTTAAATACTATTCAAAAGATTTAATTTTGTAGTATTTCCCAATAAATTTCCTCCTTATATGATGGAGGACTCCATAAGGCAGTTTTTAAAGAGAGAACAGCAATGCAACTTCTTCAAATCACTGCAGCAGGAGGAAGCACAGAAGAAAAAACACATTGTAGTGTGACAATATTTCAACAGGGTTCAGAGGAATCAGCCTTGGCTTTAGGAGTAAAGGTTCAAATCACATATACTTGTGCATTGAAGCAGAATTTTTGTGTATTTTACTATCTAAAATGTGTGACTACTGTAAGAACCAATAAGCAAAACTGAGGAAGAACACAACCCACAAATGTCATCTTCACTGTCAGAAAGAATCTCTTACTTGCAGAAGTCATCCCCTCAACTCTCAATGTGAACAAGGACTGCATCCTAAATTCAAGTTGCCCATTGCAAACCTGTCCTCACATCAGCAGTTCTATGCCAATCAGTGGAACAACTTGCATGAATATTGTTGTTTAACCCCAGCTGGAAGCTAAACACTGCAGGGCTGCTTGCTCACTCCCCCCTGGTGGGATAGGAGAGAGAACCTGAAAAGTACAAGTGAGAAAACTCATGGGTGAGACAAAGCAAAGGCCACACACACTCAAGCAAAGCAAAACAAGGAATTCATTCACTACTTCCCATGGTTCAGTCATCTCTGGGAGAGCCAGGCTCCCTTGTGTCTAATGGTTACTTGGGAGGACAAATGCTATAATTTTGAACATTCCTTCTCCCCTTTTCCTTTGTCTTTCCCCTGTTTTATATACTGTTTTACGTGTTTTATATGACACCATATAGTACAGAATATCCCTTGGGTCAATTGGGGCCATCTCTACCAGCTGTGTTCCCTCCCAATTCCTTGTGCAGCCCCAGCCTTGGCGCTGTGGAAGCTCTGCTCAGCAAGAGCTAAAACATCTTTATATTATGAGTATGCTTCTAGCACAAAACATAACCTCAAACAAATTACTAGAAAGAAAACCAACTGTCTTCCAGATAAACCCAGCACATTCTCTATTCCTTATTCTACACCATTTACATCATGCTCGGGTACCGCACTATCCAATACATCCTCATTAACCAATCCCACTTTCCATCTTTATATATAACATGCAGATATCACTTCCTTAGTCCATGGACCACCCTTGTAAAATATCCAGAAATGTCCACAAAATCTCTGTTGAGTTCATTTAGCCCATGACTTTGGGCTCCATATCTTAGGGTGGTCACTCAGAACGGGAGAGGTCAGAACTAGCACAGTGAGTAAGAACTACTCATGTGGATAAATTCTAAAAGGTTTTGTAAGACCAGGCTCTTTGATTGTCATGGCAACAGATTTATTAGGCTTCAGGCATAATTTGGATTTTCCCTCTAAACAAAATAATTTTTCTTTTTACCTGTGCCAATCTTTTGCCTTGTAATTAGAGCAAGAAAAAATAGGTTAATTACATTCTTAAAGATCATGTAACTGTACAGATACATTGTTAGAGAAAATTTATCAGAGTATGCAAAAATGTACCTTTATTAGTGACCTCCAAAATGAAGCAAAGTGTATTGTTATTGGAAACATTCATTGCCTTATTATTTTTCTGACAGTATTAACATTGCTACTGGGTATTGTCAATTTTTCCAGGAACCCATCCTGGGTTCGTTTGAAACATCACTGATATTACAAAATACTCTTTTATTATTAGGTTCAAGGATACTTACCCAGCTTTTTGCTACATTAAATATGCTCATTTTTTAGTTAATACATGATGTTTAGCTCTTTAGTTGATCCAGGAACATTTATCTTTACAGTATAGAAACATAATATGAAATCATAATTATAGTAAACTTCCTACAGAATATAGATATATATTGAAATAGGAAGGATAAAATCATCTGGGTTTCGTTTCTCTGTGCAATTTTGCATGCTTATAAATGTCTATATTATTAGGATATATATTGCATAACAGGCAATATTTAATTAATTGTCATTTGTAAAGAATAGTTCCTTTTTGCATAGGATTTTTTATTCCACAAGGTTATGCATTATGGTAGAAAGAAAAATATTTTAAAAGCAAGCATAGCAGCTTAATATGTATCCAGTACACTAATGCAGTAATGGGTTCATTTTTTTATTTCATCCCTGTAATATACATCATGATAATAGTGGATTCTTTTCTAAAGAGTATTTTGAGAAAGAAGGGTTTACATGATGCAGGATGTTAATTTTCTTTAGAATACATTACTGCCCATGATTTGCTGTGACTTAAGACACTTTAGTGATATTTTAAATAATTTTAAAACTTGCACAACAGCTGCATTTGGCTTTCTCTGTCAATTCTAAACCAAGTAAAATTAAGAAATTCCTTTTCTTTTAAGATACTTATAGTAAAGGTTTGATGCTGAGAACACCTGTATTTCATTTCAGTTCATTTTAGATAAAAAGTATTAATTAAAGCTTGAACCATCTGCTTTGTCAGGGAAGTTATACTGAGCAGTGGAAATATTTCCCACACCTGCAGTAACTATTTCCAGTCAAGAAAAATGTGTCACATAAGTATTCCCTCTATTCCTGAATGCCTTGAGCTGTCTTCATTCAAGGTCCAGCAGAAACCTAATTTTTGAAAGGCCTGAAAAAATCCCAAAACAAATCCCAAATGAAACTTGAAGTTTTGTCATTTAAGTTGTAAATGTCCACAGAAAAAAAAAATGTTTCTTGGTCAAGTAATTTCTACAGATCAGCATCTATGTTTTACATAAACCAGGATCAAAAAATTGAATTTTTTTAAAAAATGAAAAGTTCAAAAAATCAATATGTTTGGAAATGCTGATGTCAGAATGACACAAGATTTCATGTTGACATTTTAAATCAGACTTCCATTTGTTACAAGAAATTGTACTGATATATGTTTTTCAGTTTCTCTCAGTGAAATTTAGCAACTTTTTTTTTTCTGCAGAAAAGTATTTTGTTGTGATTTTTTTCACTAGACCTTTTATAGCTGTCCCAATATTTATTGTCTCTCACAAGTCATTCCTTTAACTGGAGACTTTCTGAAGGGTCATCTTTAGCATTTCTTATTGCCTAGCCCCACATTACTGACACTGAGCAGCAGTTCTCACCAGGCCCATGGTAGAACAAATTTCTGATGGCAATTCCCTCCTTTAATTCTTCTTGTGTCTTCCAAAAAAGCAGGCCTGTATTTTTCTCAGTTTTACAGATACCAGAAGTAGTGGTTTTTACTACAAAAGCCTTCAAGAGGCCTTCAAAAGGCATGCAGGAAAGATTAGAATTAATCTAGTATTAATATCCTTATTAAATAGATAAGGAAGGGAGCAACAAAGAAAGTGCCCAAAGCTATACTGGCAAGGGAAGAGTTCGGAATTGAACCCAAATGTCCTTATTCTCAGTTCATCACTGTCCCTGCAAGGTTGGTCTTCATTTTGTTCATTTCTTGGCTTAATGGCTTATATTTGGACTTTTAAGTTAATACTAGCTGAAGTATCAAATGTGAAAGGGAATTACTGATGCATACTTCCTTTCCAGTCTGACACAGTTGTCCTAAAAATTCTTTCTTCTCTCCTGAGCCATTCTGTTTGAATGTAACCATTAATTATGTAATTGCTTT